TTCCTTGGATGCTTTACTTTCATAGTTCCTTGATAATGTGAGTAGTCACGAAAGCGCTTGGAATTTCACTATTCTTTCAGAGTGGTTATTTTGCATATTCTGAAATCACCTGTTTACTGTGATCTTATTGCATATATATATATAATATATATATATATATATATATATATATATATATATATATATATATATATATATATATATATATATATATTTTATGTTGAAAATTTCCTATAATGTTGGTTGAATAAAAAATAATAATAAAAATTTTAATTACATTTCTAATAATAATAATAATAATGATAATAATAATAATAATAATAATAATAATAATAATAATAAACAATTTGGTACATTAATAATGTAACAATAATAATGATAATTATAATTACATTAAGAGTTGTATAATATTATTATAAATTAATACTCTCAATAACAAACAATTCCATCACTAACAACAAATACAATTATAGTTACATACACACAGATTATATTTAATTCAAGTTAGCTGTCATAAATCATAAAAATAGCTTACGATTATCTGAAATTGGATGACTGTTCAGGTGTCAGCAGGGGCGTCGTAAATAAGAAATTTAAGAAGTTCTGTGAACCAGTGAACTACCTACATCTGGAGTATCACACACACACACACACACACACACACACACACACACACACACACACACACACACACACACAGAAGGGGCTCCAGAAAGACGGAGAGGTGGGGTACACCACCATGTGCTGGACACAGTGCACACAACCGAGGAAGAAGTGAAGAGGCTTCTGAGTGAGCTAGATACCTCAAAGGCAATGGAGCCGGATAACATCTCCCCATGGATATTGAGAGAGGGAGCAGAGGCGCTATGTGTACCCCTAACAACAATATTCAATTCATCTATCGAAACAGGGAGATTGCCTGAGCATGGAAGACAGCAAATGTAGTCCCAATCTTTAAAAAAGGAGACAGACATGAAGCATTAAACTACAGACCAGTGTCACTGACATGTATAGTATGCAAAATCATGGAGAAGATTATCAGGAGAAGAGTGGTGGAACACCTAGAAAGGAACGATCTCATCAACAGCAGCCAACATGGTTTCAGGGACGGGAAATCCTGTGTCACAAACCTACTGGAGTTCTATGACATGGTGACAGCAGTAAGACAAGAGAGAGAGGGGTGGGTGGATTGCATTTTCTTGGACTGCAAGAAGGCGTTTGACACAGTTCCACACAAGAGATTGGTGCAAAAACTGGAGGACCAAGCAGGATAACAGGGAAGGCACTACAATGGATCAAGAGAATACTTGTCAGGAAGACAGCAGCGAGTCATGGTACGTGGCGAGGTGTCAGAGTGGGCACCTGTGACCAGCGGGGTCCCACAGGGGTCAGTCCTAGGACCAGTGCTGTTTCTGGTATTTGTGAACGACATGACGGAAGGAATAGACTCTGAGGTGTCCCTGTTTGCAGATGACGTGAAGTTGAGAGAAGAATTCACTCGATCGAAGACCAGGCAGAACTACAAAGGGATCTGGACAGGCTGCAGACCTGGTCCAGCAATTGGCTCCTGGAGTTCAATCCCACCAAGTGCAAAGTCATGAAGATTGGGGAAGGGCAAAGAAGACCGCAGACGAGTACAGTCTAGGGGGCCAGAGACTACAAACCTCACTCAAGGAAAAAGATCTTGGGGTGAGTATAAACACCAGGCACATCTCCTGAAGCGCACATCAACCAAATAACTGCTGCAGCATATGGGCGCCTAGCAAACCTCAACAGCATTCCGACATCTTAATAAGGAATCAATCAGACCCTGTACACCGTGTACGTTAGGCCCATATTGGAGTATGCGGCACCAGTTTGAAACCACACCTAGCCAAGCACGTAAAGAAACTAAGAAAGTGCAAAGGTTTGAACAAGACTAGTCCCAGAGCTAAGAGTGTATGTCCTACGAGGAGAGTTAAGGGAATCACCTGACGACACTGGGGTACAGAGAGATAGGGGGACATGATAACGACATACAAAATACTGAGAGGAATTGACAGGTGGACAAAGACAGGATGTTCCAGAGATGGACACAGTAACAAGGGACACAGTTGGAAGTTGAAGACACAGATGAATCACCGGGATCTTAGGAATATTTCTTCAGCCACAGAGTAGTCAGTAAGTGGAATAGTTTGGGAAGCGAGGTAGTGGAGGCAGGATCCATACATAGCTTTAAGCAGAGGTATGATGAAGCTCACGGCTCAGGGAGAGTGACCTAGTAGCGATCAGTGAAGAGGCGGGCCAGGAGCTCGGACTCGACCCCCGCAACCTCAACTAGGTGAGTACAACTAGGCGAGCACACACACACACAACACACACACACACACACACACACACACACACACACACACACACACACACACACACACACACACACACACACACACACACACACACACACACACACACACACACACACATACACACGAAGGATGAACCAGCAAGACTAGACCTCGTATACACCTTGAGTAGTTCAGACATCGACGTCACATACGAAAGGCCCATCGGAGCTAGTTATCACCTGGTTCTGAGCTTCGAATACATAGTGGAGTTACAAGTGGAGAACGTAAGAGCAGTAGGATGGGAAAAGCCAAAAATTAAAGGGGAAGGGGACTACACAGGCATGAGGAACTTCCTGCAAGAGGTTCAGTGGGAAAGAGAATTGGTAAGAAAATCAGTAAACGAAATGGACTACGTGACAACAAAATGCAAGGAGGCAGAGGAGAGGTTTGTTCCTAAGAGCAAGATAGATAATGGAAAGACCAGAATGAGTCCTTGGTTCACCCAAAAGTGTAGGGAGGCATAAACTAAGTGCGCTAGAGAATGGAAAAAGTACAGAAGACGAAGGAAAATAAAGAGAAATGAATATGAACAGATAAGGAGTGAGGCTCAGCGACAATACGAAAACGGCATAGCATCGAAAGTCAACTCTGACCCAAAGCTGTTGTATAGCCACATCAGAAGGAAAACAACAGTCAAGGACCAGGTATCTGGCTGAGGAAGGAAGGTGGGGGATTTAACAAGAAACGATGGAGAAGTGAGGAGCTTAATATGAGATTTAAATAAGTATTCACAGTGGAGACAGGAAGGACTCCAGGAAGTCAGAATAGGGGAGTAAACCAATATGGGATACACCAACAAGTGCTGGATGAAATGCACACAACCGAGAGGAGGTGAAGAAACTGCTATGTGAACTTGATACCTCAAAGACGGAGGGACCGGACATCTCTCTGTGGGTCCTTAGAGAAGGAGTAGAGACCCTGTTTGTGCCACTAACAAAAAACTTCAACACATCTATTGAAACTGGGCAACTACGTGAGGTATGGAAGGTGGCAAATGTAGTCCCAGTTTTTAAGAAATGAAATAGACATGAGGCATTAAACTGCAGGTCAGTGTCACTTTCGTGTGTAGTATGCAAAGTCATAGAGAAGATTATCAGGAGGAGAGTGGTGGAGCACCTAGAAAGGAACAACCTTATAAACGCCAACCAGCACAGTTTCAGGGAAGGGAAATTATGTGTCACAAACCTATTGGAGGTTTATGACAAGGTAATGGAAGTAAGACACAAGAGAGAGAGAGAGAGAGGAGTGGGCAGATTGCACCTTCTTGAACTGCAAGAAGGCCTTCGACACAGTTCCTAGCAAGAAGTTAGTGCAAAAGCTTGAGGATCAGGCATGCATAACAGGAAAGGCACTGCAATGAATTACAGAATACCTGACAAGGAGGCAACGAGTCATGGTACGTGACGAAGCGTCAGAGTGAGTGCCTGTGATGAGCGGCATTCCACGGGGGTCAGTTCTAGGACCAATGCTGTTTTCGGTATATGTGAATGACATAAAGGAACGGATAGACTCAGAAGTGTCCCTGTTTGCAGATGATGTGAAGTTAATGAGGAGAATTAAATTGGATGAGGATCAGGGAGGACTACAGAGACCTGGACAGGCTGGAAGCCTGCTCCATCAACTGGCTCCTCGAATTTAACCCTGCCAAATGTAAAGTCATGAAGATTGGGGAAGGGCAAAGAAGACTACGGACTATAGGCTAGGTGGCCAAAGACTGCAAACCTCACTCAAGGAAAAGGATCTTGGGGTGAGTATAATACCGAGCACATCTCCTAAGGCGTACATCAACCAGATAACTGCTGCAGCATATGGGTGCCTGGCAGACCTAAGAATAGCATTCCGATACCTCAGTAAGGAATCGTTAGGCTTTTTATACCTTGTACGTCAGGCCCATATTGGAGTATGCAGCACCAGTTTGGAACCCACACCTGATCAAGCACGTCAAGAAATTAAAAAAAGTACAGAGCTAAGGGGAATGTTCTACGAGGAAAGGTTAAGAGAAATCGGCCTGACGATCCTGGAGGATAGGATGGTTAGGGAAGACGTGATAACGATGTCTACAATACTGCGAGGACAGAGACAGGATGTTCCAGAGATGGGACACAGAAACAAGGGGTCACAGTTGGAAATTGAAGACTCAGATGAGTCAAAGGGATGTTAGGAAGTATTTCTTCAGTGATAGAGTTGTTAGGAAGTGGAATAGTCTGGCAAGTGGTGTAGTGGAGGCAGGAACCATACATAGCTTTAAGACGAAGTATGATAAAGTTCATGGAGCAGGGAGAGAAAGGACCTAGTAGCGATCAGTTGGGCCAGGAACTGAGTCTCGACCCCTGCAACAACAAATAGGTGAGTACAAATAGATGAGTACACACACACACACACACACACACACACACACACACACACACACACACACACACACACACACACACACACACACACACACACACACACACGCTTGCATGCAGACACACACACAGGCTTGCATACATTAAATGTCACATGCACTACACCCACCTCATCCATAAATGCAACAGATTAAACTCTAAGGGTGTATGAGGGAGTCTAATGTTTACTAACCTGGAGGTTAACATGAGTGTTTTGTTTCTCCCACAGTTGGCAGTGGGCGATCCAACGAAAGTGTTGTGTCTCTGGCTGGCGTCAGGACGCTACAGAGCGGTCCACGGATCCTGCCACCATTGCCTCAAGACGCCAGCGAGCCTCAGGCGGTCGTTGCTAGCGAAACAGATGCCACCACTGTGATAAACTCTCCAACGACATCAGTAGTCAGCGGGCATCACATCGACAACACCACCGTCATCCAAGGTAGTGGCTCCTCTGATGCCGTCAGCCACATCAGGTTTGACAGTATGTCGCAGGCCCTTGGGGAAGACACCTCCGGGGCTCTTGTCGAAGAGGACTTGGGTGTTCTCGGAGACGGCAGCCTGGTCGGGGCAGGTGGTGTGGAGGCCACCAATTTGGGTAGCGGCTCCACAAGAGGCTTTGAAGCCAGTGTAGCCGTGCCGGCAGCTCTGGAGGCTGTTAGCTCGGCATCCCTGGCCTTCCCTGACCCGCCCACAGCCCTGCTGCGGCGTTCCCCAGCCTCCACCTCCCGCCCCGCCCCGCATGCCCTTCCAGGAACCTCGGTAATACCCCACAGGACAGGCATTCCTCGTGGTCCAGTCCGCCTGCCACCCCCCATCCCTGTGTCCGGCGCTAAGTCAGAGGGCGCCTCGTACCCCTACCGCCATAGTAACACACGGTACGACCGTCGCAACTTGGTCTACACCTACCAGGGGCGGGATGCCTACGCTCACCCGCCTTATGGTCCCCCCTATGATCCCTACAGTGCCGCCTTCAGCAGAGAGAATGCTGCTCAGCGGGCCCTCTACACCCACAGTCACGCCATGGCCAAGATGGGAGGGCTCTCTCCCTCGCAGAACGACCTGTCGCCTGTGTACGACTCGTTCGCTTACCCCGACGGTCGTGACCTGACCATGGGGGAGGAAGTGCCCCCTCCCGGTCGTCCAGGTAACCAGCAGCTGCATGGCAGGGTTGTGTTGGCCCCAACGGGATCACACCCGGCTGCGGCGCCTCCGCTACACCTCTTGATGGCTTCGTCGTGCATGACTTGTCCGGGAAACTCTTCATTTTCTCTGTTGACCTCAGTCGAATTCTTTTATCTCTACGATAAAATACAAATGCATCCCTCCTTCCGTAGCAACTTATTATATTTTGTCTGTTGTCTGTGTAGCTCGGGATATTAATATATTTTCCTCAAACATTTTAAACTTCCAAAAAAATTAGAATGACTTGCATGTGTTGGAAATCTATGTAAGATTCAAATCTTTCTTATCTTCCTATCGCTTGCCCAACAGTGAAACAAGTAATGGATGCTCTACCTGAAGTAACTTAAATGAACGACACTACATGGTAACCTTGCCGGGACAGGAATGTATACATCTCGAGAGTTGATGTTTTCTGGATGTGGATGCTTCATTTACCTGGAGAGCTTCTGGTTGTAAGTGTTCCTTCGTGTTCCTGCAGAGCCTTTGCCTGTGAGTACATTTTGATGTGCATAGAGCACTCATGATTATATCTCTCTGTACTTGGAGAGCTGCTCTTTGTTGGTATCTTTGTGTACCAGGACAACAATTGACTGAGTACTTCTTTGTGAACCTGGAAATCCTCTGGCTGTGGGTGTCTTCGTATACCTGGATAACCTCAGGCTGAAAGTATCTCAATGTATCTGGAAAATCTCTGATTGTCTCCCTTTGTGTTCCTGAAGAGCGTTTGACTGCGGGTGCCTTAATGTACTTGGAAATCCCCTAGATATAAGTGCTTCTTCGCATACCTGGAAAGAACCTGGATGCGGGTACTTTTTTTGTGTACCAGGCCTCTGGTTGTGAGCACTTCTTTGTGTGCCGGGAGAGTCTATAGCTGCGAGTGTTTCCTCGTGTACCTGGAGAGCCTCTGAATGCAAATGCTCAGTGTACCTGGAGAGCCTCTTGCTACGAGTGTTCTCTCGTGAACCTGGAGAGTCACTGGCTGCGAGGGCTTCTTCATGCACATAGAGAGTTTTTCTTTCTCTTCATGTACATGGAGAGCTTTTACTTTGTGGGTTTCTTCATGTACCTGAAGACCATCTTGCTGTGCAATCCTTCTTGTACCTGGAGAGCCTTTGACCATGAGTTCTTACTTTTGTACCAGGAAATCCTCTGGCTCGGGGGTGATTCTTCTATGGATCCGGAAGGAGATTGGTTACGGGTTTCTTCGTGTACTTGACGAGTCTAAACAGGTCAAAGCTGGCTGGTGGCTTGCGTGTTTTATTAGTAGATTTATTTCCTGAGAAGGATTTTGAGGCCACTTTACACTGTACCATACCCCAGACTAACTCCAACACCAGAGACCATTTTCAGTACCATAGATCCATTGTGACACCGCAGACTCTCTATCACTACACACGATTCGCCCAGTACCACTGATCAGTGCGACACCACAGATTCACTATCACTACACACACAGTCCAGTACCACTGATCATTGCGACACCACAGATTCACTATCACTACACACACAGTACAGTACCACTGATCATTGCGACACCACAGACTCACTATTACTACACACGCACAGTTCAGTACCACTGATTTTTGCGACACCACAGATTCACTATCACTACACACGCAGTCCAATACCACTGATCATTGCGACACCACAGATTCCCTATCAATACACACACAGTCCCGTACCACTGATCATTGCGACACCACAAACTCACTATCACTACACTCACAGTCTAGTACCACAGACCATTGCGACACCACAGATTCACTATCACTATACACACACAGTCCAGTACCACTGATCATTGCGACACCACAGATTCACTATCAATACACACTGTCCAGTACCACTGATCATTGCGACACCACAGATTCACTATCGCTACACACACAGTCCAGCACCACTGATCATTGCGACACCACAGATTCACTATTGCTACACACACAGTCCAGTACCACTGATCATTGCGACACCACAAATTCACTATCGCTACATACACAGTCCAGTACCACTGATCATTGCGGCACCAGAGATTCACTATCGCTACACACACACAGTCCAGTACCACTGATCATTGCGACACCACAGATTCACTATCGCTACATACACAGTCCAGTACCACTGATCATTGCGACACCACAAATTCGCTATCGCTACATACACAGTCCAGTACCACTGATCATTGCAACACCACAGATTCACTATCGCTGCACACACAGTCCAGTACCACTGATCATTGCGACACCACAGATCCACTATCACTATACACACAGTCCAGTACCACTGATCATTGCGACACCACAAATTCACTATTGCTACACATACAGTCCAGTACCACTGATCATTACGACACAACAGATTCACTATCGCTACACACACAGTCCAGTACCACTGATCATTGCGACACCACAGATTCACTATCGCTACACACACAGTCCAGTACCACTGATCATTGCGACACCACAGATTCACTAACGCTACACACACAGTCCAGTACCACTGATCATTGCGACACCACAGATTCACTATCACTACACGCACAGTCCAGTACCACTGATCATTGCGACACCACAGATTCACTATTGCTACACACAGTCCAGTACCACTGATCATTGCGACACCACAGATTCATTATTGCTGCACACACAGTCCAATACTACTGATCATTGCGACACCACAGATTCACTATCACTACACACACTGTCCAGTACCACTGATTATTGCGACACCACAGATTCACTATCGCTACACACAGTCCAGTACCACTGATCATTGCGACACCACAGATTCATTATTGCTGCACACACAGTCCAATACTACTGATCATTGCGACACCACAGATTCACTATCACTACACACACTGTCCAGTACCACTGATCATTGCGACACCACAGGTTCATTATTGCTACACACAGTCCAGTACCACTGATCATTGCGACACCACAGAGTCACTATCGCTACACACACAGTCCAGTACCACTGATCATTGCGACACCACAGAGTCACTATCGCTACACACACAGTCCAGTACCACTGATCATTGCGACACCACAGAGTCACTAACGCTAAACACACAGTCCAGTACCACTGATCATTGCGACACCACAGAGTCACTTACGCTACACACACAGTCCAGTACCACTGATCATTGCGACACCACAGTCTCACTATCACTACAAACACAGTCCAGTACCACTGATCATTGCGACACCACAGACTCACTATCACTACACACAAAGTCCAGTACCACTGATCATTGCAACACCACAGACTCACTATCATTACTCACACAGTTCAGTACCACTGATCATTGCGACACCACGGACTCACTATCATTACACACACAATCCAGTATCACTGCGACTCCACAGACTCACTATTGCTACACACACACACACAGTCCAGTACCACTGATCATTGCGACACCACAGACTCACTATCACTACACACACAGTCCAGTACCACTGATCGTTGCGACACCACAGACTCACAATCAGTACACACACAGTCCAGTACCACTGATCATTCCGACATCACAGAGTCACTATCAATATACACACAGTCCAGTACCACTGATCATTGTGACACCACAGACTCACTATCAGTACACACACAGTTCAGTACCACTGACCATTGCGACACCACAGACTCACTATCACTACACACGCAGTCCAGTACCACTGATCATTGTGACACCACAGACTCACTATCAGTACACACACAGTTCAGTACCACTGATCATTGCGACACAACAGTCACTATCAATACACACACAATCCAGTACCACTGATCATTGCGACACCACAGAGTCACTATCAATACACACAGTCCAGTACCACTGATCATTGTGACACCACAGTCACTATAAATACACACACAGTACACTACCACTGATCATTGCAACACCACAGAGTCACTATCAATACACACACAGTCCTTTACGACTGATCATTGCGACACCACAAACTCACTATCAACACACACACAGTCCAGTACCACTGATCATTGCGACACCACAAACTCACTATCAATACACACACAGTCCAGTACCACTGATCATTGCGACACCACAGACTCACTATCAATACACACACAGTCCAGTACCACTGATCATTGCGACACCACAGACTCACTATCACTACACACACAGTTCAGTACCACTGATCATTGCGACACCACAGACTCATTATCACTACACACACAGTCCAGCACCACTGATCATTGCGACACCACAGACTCACTATCATTACACACACAGTCCAGTACCACTGATCATTGAGACACCACAGAGTCACTATCAATACACACACAGTCCATTACCACTGATCATTGCGACATCACAGAGTCACTATCAATACACACACAGTCAAGTACCACTGATCATTGTGACACCATTGAGTCACTATCAATACACGCTCAGTCCACTGTCACTGATCATTGCGACACCACAGATCCACTCTCAATACACACACAGTCCAGTGCCACTGATCATTGTGACACCACAGACTCACTATCAATACACACACAGTCCATTACCACTGATCATTGTGACACCCCAGAGTCACTATCAATGCACTCACAGGTCAGTACCGCTGATCATTGCGACACCACAGAGTCACTATCAATATACACACAGTCCTGTAACACTGATCATTGCGACACCACAAACTCACTATCAGTACTCAGTTCAGTACCACTGATCATTGCGACACCACAGACTCACTATCAATACACACAGTCCAGTACCACTGATCATTGCGACACCACAGACTCACTATCACTACACACACAGTCCAGTAACACTGATCATTGCGACACCACAGATTCACTATTACTACACACGCAGTCCAGTACCACTGATCATTGCGACACCACAGATTCACTATCACTACACACACAGTCCAGTACCACTGATCATTGCGACACCACAGACTCACTATTACTACACACACACAGTTCATTACC